TATTGTTTATTATCCTGGTCTAACACTCTGTCAACAGGTATTGTATTATCCTTTACATATGTATTATCCTGGTCTAACACTCTGTCAACACTCTGTCAGCAGCTTTACATGTATTGCTTTGTCATATGTATTATCCTGGTCTAACACTCTGTCAACACTCTGTATTGCTTTACATGTGTATTATCCTCTAACACTCTGTCAACAGGTACACTCCTGTCAACACTCTGTCAACAGGTATTGATTTACATGTGTGTATTATCCATGGTCTAACACTCTGTCAACAGGTATTGCTTTACATATGTATTATCCTGGTCTAACACTCTGTCAACAGGTATTGCTTTACATATGTATTATCCTGGTCTAACACTCTGTCAACACTCTGTCAGCTGGTATTGCTTTACATGTGTATTATCCTGGTCTAACACTCTGTCAACAGGTATTGCTTTACATGTGTATTATCCTGGTCTAACACTCTGTCAACAGGTATTGTTTTACATATTGTTTTACATGTGTATTATCCTGGTCTAACACTCTGTCAACATGTGTATTATCCTGGTCTTTAACATATGTATTATCCTGGTCTAACACTCTGTCAACAGGTATTGCTTTACATATGTATTATCCTGGTCTAACACTCTGTCAACAGGTATTGTATTATCCTGGTCTAACACTCTGTCAACAGGTATTTATTATCATATGTATTATCCTGGTCTAACACTCTGTCAACAGGTATTGCTTTACATGTGTATTATCCTGGTCTAACACTCTGTCAACAGGTATTGCTTTACATGTGTATTATCCTGGTCTAACACTCTGTCAACAGGTATTGCTTTACATATGTATTATCCTGGTCTAACACTCTGTCAACAGGTATTGCTTTACATATGTATTATCCTGGTCTAACACTCTGTCAACAGGTATTGCTTTATTGCTTTACATGTGTATTATCCTGGTCTAACACTCTGTCAACTGGTATTGCTTTACATGTGTATTATCCTGGTCTAACACTCTGTCAACAGGTGTTTGCTTTACATATTATTATCCTGGTCTAACACTCTGTCAACAGGTATTGCTTTACATATGTATTATCCTGGTCTAACACTCTGTCAACAGGTATTGTTTTACATATGTATTATCCTGGTCTAACACTCTGTCAACTGGTATTGCTTTACATATGTATTATCCTGGTCTAACACTCTGTCAACAGGTATTGCTTTACATATGTATTATCCTGGTCTAACACTCTGTCAACTGGTATTGCTTTACATATGTATTATCCTGGTCTAACACTCTGTCAACAGGTATTGCTTTACATGTGTATTATCCTGGTCTAACACTCTGTCAACAGGTATTGTTTTACATATGTATTATCCTGGTCTAACACTCTGTCAACTGGTATTGCTTTACATATGTATTATCCTGGTCTAACACTCTGTCAACTGGTATTGCTTTACATATGTATTATCCTGGTCTAACACTCTGTCAACAGGTATTGCTTTACATATGTATTATCCTGGTCTAACACTCTGTCAACAGGTATTGCTTTACATGTGTATTATCCTGGTCTAACACTCTGTCAACAGGTATTGCTTTACATATGTATTATCCTGGTCTAACACTCTGTCAACAGGTATTGTTTTACATATGTATTATCCTGGTCTAACACTCTGTCAACAGGTATTGCTTTACATATGTATTATCCTGGTCTAACACTCTGTCAACAGGTATTGCTTTACATATGTATTATCCTGGTCTAACACTCTGTCAACAGGTATTGCTTTACATGTGTATTATCCTGGTCTAACACTCTGTCAACAGGTATTGTTTTACATATGTATTATCCTGGTCTAACACTCTGTCAACAGGTATTGCTTTACATGTGTATTATCCTGGTCTAACACTCTGTCAACAGGTATTGCTTTACATGTATTATCCTGGTCCTGGTCTAACCTGGTCTAACACTCTGTCAACTGGTATTGCTTTACATATGTATTATCCTGGTCTAACACTCTGTCAACTGGTATTGCTTTACATATGTATTATCCTGGTCTAACACTCTGTCAACAGGTATTGCTTTACATATGTATTATCCTGGTCTAACACTCTGTCAACAGGTATTGCTTTACATATGTATTATCCTGGTCTAACACTCTGTCAACTGGTATTGCTTTACATATGTATTATCCTGGTCTAACACTCTGTCAACAGGTATTGTTTTACATATGTATTATCCTGGTCTAACACTCTTTCAATTGGCGCTGCTTCACACGTGCATCAACATCGTCTAACGCTATTTCAACCGGCACTAACGCCGTTTTAAATTGCGCAACATCGTCGCAGTTTCTGCAAATGAACTTGTTAACATTTTTTTATTGTTAGTCTATGCATGGAATCCAATGATCTCATAATCTTTTAATACTGTTTGAAACCCCGCTAGCTAAATGTCAGTGTTCTCAGTTGGAACGTATTATGGGTAATTTCCACGAAACAGTCTTTGTTCTAGCGGTATTAAGATCAAACGCTTGGCTCAACTGAAGCCAATTACAGGCTTTGGAAAGATCAATTCATTATCCGTACAAAGTTGGTTTCACTAAAATAGGAATGTCAATTGAATATAAAACACAGCCAAGTATTTAAATCATATAACTTAATTACTTTGTTTCAAACCTCGCTTGACAATTTTATGTGAAATAGAACCAGTTTATCGAATCATTTGTCAAACGTATCACTTGACTTTATTCAGTGCAATGTACATAGTGAAAGGATTGAAAAGAAATTGATTAGCATCCAATCAATATCGAATTGTCTGAGCAAGCTGCAGAGGGAGAGTATAAATATTTGGTGATATTGCTTGGTATTTAGATGTTCTAGAGGTTTTGGGGAGTGTGAGTGGGATAGTGATGGGGACGGTCTTGGGTGAGGATGAGAGTGAGAGTGAAGGCACAGGTGCAGGTGCAGGTGCAGGTGCAGGTGCAGGTGAGGGTGTGGGTGTGGGTGTGGGTGTGGGTGTGGGTGTGGGTGTGGGTGTGGGTGTGGGTGTGGGTGTGGGTGTGGGTGTGAGTGAGGATGAGGGTGAGGGTGAGGGTAGGGTGAGGGTGAGGGTGTGTGTGTGTGTGTGTGTGTGTTTTGAGGGTGCAGGTGCGGTTGAGGGGTGAGGGTGAGGGTGAGGGTGAGGGTGAGGTGAAGGGTGAGGGGGGTGAGGGGTGAGGGTGAGATTGAGGGTGCATTGACAAGTGTAGATTATTATTCCTTGGAAGATTATGTAATAACGCTTGTAATTCATCAACGAAAAACACTGTTCTGTGCATTTTTAGCACTCACTGTTCACTTAAATATTAGCTCACGCAGTATTTGCAACACTCTGTAATGTACAGCACGGAAGTATAATCTACTGGACTATGTATTATCTTACGTGCAAACTGGTATTTTTCCGTCAAAGACAGTTTGGCGCAGAATAGTTATAAGTTGTATCTTCTCTGATGAAGAAGCTCAATGGAAATTGAGACTCTCCATTAGAGAGGATATGTCCAGATATGCTGTACTCCATCAAACACTGAGTCTACATAGACTTTACACTCTAATGTATATGTACCCAGAATATAAAGACCATATACAACTTGCTGTACTAGTCGGTTCTAAAGCCAAATTCTCAAAAGAATGTATGCTTTGTAATAAGTACTGTTGTGACCACGATGCCCACATCATTTTGCATTGTGAATCTGTAATGAGCCAAAGAAATAACTTTTATATGACGCTACTTGACCTACTGGACGTAGAATTATATGTATTAATTGAAACGCTTGATGATGAAGATGCCCTTGTACTGTTTTGTGGTGCAAAACTTCACATCCCTGGCCTTCATGAAACAGCATGGCAAACCATCATACTACATTTTTCGAACTATATCTATTCTTTAAAGGATTCCTTGATGTATACTTTCTGAACTATCATTGTTGTAAATAACCGTGCTTTGTACATATCATATGTAGATATATGTAACTGATTGATGTTTGTTTATGTATCTATTGTACTTTAAAATTGCCATGGTGTAGGCTGTCGTCTTTAAACAAGGAAGTACTATGTTTGTTATGTAAGTATTGAACGTCAACGTTAGGGAGTAATAATTTTCGATTATCTGACTAAACAGGTTCAAGTGGACATAAAAGAAGGAAAAGTGGTGAATAACCAAAAGTTTGAAACAAAACGCGCTAATTTTGTCACACGACGTTTCGGATGTCTTTCCATATTATTCAAATTTACACATCGTTCAGATTCCATCAGCATATTCCGGAATGATGTCATTGTCTTGAATCATTATAACATAAGATGTACTGCACTATTTAAATGGGGAGACTGATATAGCATTGATGCAGTACATAATCATGACCACATGGGTGTTTGATCTCAAATCTCCGCATGATGTGACACGTTTGCTTGTTAAAAGTAACCAGATGCAAAGCTGTAAGGTGCATGTGAATACCTATATTAGCAGCAACTATATTGTTTTTACTCTACTAGCATAGCGTCCTGTGTGTATAATATATGTCATTGACTGCGTTGTCCAATTATTTCGAAATAGTCCACCATCAGTCATGAAACAAAAAAACTATATTAAAGAACAACACTCGCATCTCTCGGGAGTAAAACAATTTTCTATCTTATAATCTCTTGTCCTTTAGAAATGACATCCTTATCAAAATTAACATTTAAAAAACCCCATAAAAATACACTTGAGTGATCATTTGATGTCAGTTGCATTATGTAGTGGCTGAATAAGTGTCTCCTGCCTGATTACATTATGGATGAACATGCAACATTATTTCTTTGAATACTTTCAACAGAGGGTTTTGAAGTTAAATCAATTCCTTAACAAGAGGGAGTTACACCCGGTGGCATCGTCCCAGCTGTAGCCGCGACACATTGCACCAACCTCTGAATCTACGACCGACTCTAGTCAATCGAAGATTAGGCATGTAAAGTAACAACGAGAAATGCCAGTGTTCAAGACGAATTGCCTTTATTGAAGATTGCCGGAAATAGCAGTATCTCTGCTGTAGTTGTGCATTGCTAGCAACTGGGCCTTGCTCCTCGCAGACTCGCAGTCCTTCCCACGACACGCAGTCTCCTCCCCCTTCCGCGGCCTCCTGGGCCACGTGCGGCGGCACCATTCTCTAAGGCGTCTGGCATGACAGCCAACAAAACACTCCCTAAGAAGAGATAAGCCCTTTAAATTCACATGGATGTTAGCAGACGACCCAGTCCGTGAAACATCTCGACTGAGCTGCTCCTTTGCTTGGTTGAATTTATCAGTAGACCCTGCTCCCAGGCAAGGGGCCGACTTGTATATCATTGAGTGGAAGCTGTTATGGTAAGCGGGCTGCCGAGCGAATCACGTCCTGGTTCTGCCGTGAATGTCACCGTTACTATCGTGCAGTTAAGGGGTCAAAACTGACTTTCTGATTTGTCTCTTAAGTAGTAATCCTCCTGAGATGTCAGATTGTAGTATTCAAAATATAGTCCTCTAACAATGAGATGCGCATCCGCCGGGGTTCTATCGCTCTGTACGACAGTCGTAAATATATAGAATATTCTGGGTTAAAATACAATTTGTAGTATATGTGAAATAGAATAAGTTACATAAAATACATCTGCTTGAGCCTTAAAGATTACAAAATGCAATTTACACATTGAAAAGAATACTACACCAGTTTCCTAAGACATATGATCTATTAAAGATCAACAGCAAGATAAACTCAGATATATGGAACCCGATAGTTCCCCCCCAAATCGCAACATAACGGAATATATTCTGTATTATTCATCGTGGAAAGAAACACAAGAAGAGCGCAATGAAACAATGTAAGCCATAATGAACGGAATGATGACTACTAGGTGATGGACTGGAGTCTCAACACAACGGCTGGGTGCTAGCGGACTACACACGATAGACGACGATAACGACATGTCAGTGAAACAAGCAGGATGACAATGATCAGTACGTTCCGGGTCTGAATCTTGTTGTAAGGCGGATGCAGACCGTTTCTTGGCCGTCCCAGGGCCGCTGCGGTCCCGGTTACGCTCCCGTCTCCTTGTTTGTCTGGGTCCAGCACTCGATAGCGCACACTCTGTGATCCATTTTACACATGCTGAAACCGCGCTGTGTCCTCGATCGCTTGGCACAGATGATGAAGTCGGGTACACATGTCTCTACGTAGCAACCTGAAACAGACAGACTAGTGTTTAGAGGATGAAGTGTCTCTAAAGCTTTCAAAACAAGTTTGGTAGACATTATGATAAACATGTCCCATGCGATTCCCGACACATGTCACGTGAAATGTCCTGTATTTCTTCGCATGTACACTGGCTTGTTTTTTGCGCGTGTGTGTGTGTGTGTGCGTGCGTGCGTGCGTGCGTGCGTGCGTGCGTGTGTGTGTGTGTGTGTGTGTGTGTGTGTGTGTGTGTGTGTGGGTGTGAGGGTTTGCTACTGGTGGGGCAAGATACCCTAACCTTTGCGTAAACACCTGCTATCATAGATATTCATAAACAACTGTTCATCATATCGACGGATTCGGACAATGGGCTATTTGTAACGAATATAGAAAAGGTTTTGAAACTTGTACAAAACTAAGTATCTACATAAATACATGAATATGAAGTGTTCTTGTCTCAGAGGGCGTTATATCGTGTACAAGTATTTATGTCAACAGCAACAAGCTTTTATTAAGTTGACGCTGTACGCAAACCTCCATGTCACAACTGGAAACAGCTAATGAAATGGTCAGACCAAGTACGGTATGAAAGCCACATGTTTTACTTCCTAGAAAATATTACATTATGTTTTATATTCCCTGACATTATCAGATCAGCACACACACCAAAGTAACTGTTACATATATGAGAGGCACCAGCCGACCGCAACTTGAAACACACACAGACATGTTGGTATGTATGTAACAAGACTAGACAGACATAGATCAACATCCGTCTTCGTCTCCTTGTCCCAGAAATCACACAAACTAAACAGGTTTCTCGGATTGGAATATATGAAACCACAACTCTCAATTATCAATAATTGAAGCACCACATTTACGTCTGTCCGGAAAGCTAAATCTGGCATTTCCAATACATACATGCCAACAGATACTGTGGGTTACGATTACTTAACCCCTTGGCGGCTACAAAGGATTTCTGTAAAACATATTCATATTTTGTCAATCCTACATTTCGGTTATGATACAAGGAGCTTCAGCCTACTGTGCGAAGGAGCTTCAGCCTTCTGTGTGAGGGAATCCTGTAGTCGTGGTCGTCGTCAACGTTTATCAGTATGGGGAAGGAGTGGGTGACTGACTTGGGTATTCGTCACTATGCACAGTGTCTGTGTTTTATATCACAGCAAGTCAGTTTGAAGTAGCCACCTGTACGTATCACGATGACGACTAAGGCAGCATCAGAAGGTGTTATCAGAAAAGAGATATGTTTATGTTGCTTCAGCGAAAACACATCAGATGTAATTTAAACTGTACATTTCGATTTTAGTTTCAACAAGCAGTACAAAGCAGTAAATGCAGTATGGCGTGGCTTGATTTCTAGTTCCTAATTTGATCGTCTGGTTTCTGTTGTCTCGCGGTAGAGGTACTTCTATCGTGTCATGCAGCAAACATAGACCTACTTGCAAACAAACTGTGGTAGTGGCGGATGCTACAGGTACGGCAGGGCATGGTTAACCATTCCCAGGACACCTGATTTACAGTGATCCATTCACATAATTGTCACCGCCTTTTACCTCAACTGCAACCTGTTACGTCGGATAAACCAAACTGGTTAATCTATGGCGTTGAGGTTTTCCCCATATATTCTGAAGTCAAGTCCATGGCATCATTATCCTTCTCCAGGCAGGAGTCCAGGTACAGACTCCCATTAACTGTATCGGACAATATGTAAAGTTCTCAGGTCACCTGCAGTCACATGGTGTTGTCAGCTCGGGTCCTGTGACCTCCGTCTACATATCGTTCAGTTAGGTCATCCAATCTGGGATTTGTGAGATGCATCTGCAAGAGGTGTTTATTGCATCCTTCTGATGCAGTGCATCCAGAGATAGGTCGTTGTAGGTATTGTGTCATCGGTGTGGCTGTTGTGGTTAATGTCACACGAGGCATTCAACCCTGTTTTGTTACGTGTAGAGTGGGTATAAGGCCCTAGGATGGTTCCTCGAGGAATAGCAGGACATATGGGTTTGTATTCCTGCATATAGGCTTAGCCTCTATTATTTTAACCTACTGGAACTACTGAGTAGTTTACTTGATTCGACAATGACGAATACTACCGAAGTGACCAATATAAAATGGAAATAATGTATGAAATGAAATAAACTAAAGAAATTAAAACCGATAATTATTCCCAAACTCCTGAACCTAAGGTAAGAATGAAATGAACAAAAGATTGGTACTGACATGGCCATACCGTCCACTTGCAGCAGCTATGATGGTTATAGTTATATTCTATATTCTGTCTGTGAGACTAAACCGCCCATATGTCGTGCAACCTGAGATGCGGATTATAGCAGTACTATACAGAAACCACCGTATCAAATACCGCCTCCTGCTACTCAATGTTAACTAGATCAAATTAGGTTTAATGCATTCGGTGTAGTGTTTCATGGTTACAGACCTGAGATACGCATGGTCGTCATAACTAACCCACTGTATCTGCACTTAGCCAGGCCATCACAACCGTTGCAGCACAGTTAAACCCTCCTACTCCGGACAACGTTAATCCAGACAACCAACTACTACTATATGAAGTCTGTTTTTGAGGTCTTCAGCTCTTACTGAAAGCGGCATGACAACCGTGCTTATTATCAGTAGGATTAATTCCGTTGGTAAAACAGCTGAATATAGCTGATGAGATTCCAGTCCGAATCAGCCGTGAACATGTGTTTGTGAGCGCGTGTCTCCCTGCCTTTGAGTGGATCTGTGTCTGCCGCTTCTGACTCTGTTTCTTCGTAGGGACAAGTAACAACTTCTGTGCCTCAGAATACTCAGAATAGTTTGTGTGTTTATACAGCAGTTTACATAATTCTAGAAGCAGATGCATTTGCCGGCAATCCCACATCGCTTAGTTTCACTTGTGAGTCGTTAGTTAATGTAGGACTGCGGGGGGACTGCACGGCCCAGACTACATAATCCCGCTCCGAAGCTCACCGGACTCTTTGAGATTCAACACGGTATTTATTGAAGGGTTTCTTTTTCTGTGATCTTAGGATCTAAGATGTGATTTCTAGTTATCCCAGACGTTGAAGGAACTGATTAATGAACAGGGCGAAAATATGACGAGTTCGGAGACGCATTGCAGACTTGATTCACCTCGTTAGCAATCAATGACTTCATAATCTGCAAAGCTGACGTCCTCTCCGAGTCCGAGTCGACAAGCGATAGGTCATACACATAATCTGCATTAACCTGTTTTTAGGAAATGAGTAATTCGTAGATAAATCGCTTTGAACACACAAATCTTTGATTTCCGAGGTTTTCTTGGTGAATTTGACATTAAACATAATCAGAAATCACCACGAAACAGAAAACCCCGGAAAGATGTCTTTGACTTGTCCTGTATTCAGTTGTTTGTTCCCCGATCCAGCACATGTTCTTAGTCATCTGGAACCTTACACATAGATACAGTAACAGTAACCTAGGAATCGCCTCCTATAGTGAGGATTAGTGAGAGGACAACCAAACTAGTATCGAGGCGAATCAGGTATTCTATCAGTATTTCTATCTCAGCCTCCCATGCTTGGTGGAATATTCTGTTGTAGTAACGTTGATGTATGGAGTTCTACATTTCCTGGAAGAGATCCATTAGTTTACTCTAGTTATCAGCAAGTGAGTATGGGTTTATGCCGCTTCTAGCAATATTCTAGCCTCATGGATGACCATGGAAGCTGCAGCATCAATGTGATCGATAGGCTCGCCTCACTCCCCACGCACCTGAAGTGACCGGGATATACACACACACGTTCTGTTCAAGTAGGCACACACAGAGCAGCTTTAACTTGTGTACAAGGTACATTGATGGTACGTCGAATCAGCAAATCCACAGTTCTCGGTGGTAATATGGACTAGAAACCTTCTGTCTATTGTAGCGACGTTAATGACAATGGATGTATTTAAATAGATGAATTCAAAACAAAGTTATATTAGCCTAATGTCCATCTACGGCAATTGTCATTACCTCGAATCATGTTCGCCCTCGTATGTCTCGAGACTTATTGCCTTCATCAAAACGTGTTCAAAACGAGGCCGACACGACACGCGCGGGACAGAAAAGATCACGTGACTGCCTCCAGCACTTTATCTATTGCCATTAACGGGTTCATCGATATTTCTAATGATGACGAGTACATTTCTTTGACCTTCTCCTAATCCGTCAAGTGTCTGTCTTGTCTGGGCAATTGTAATTGAGTTCTAAATATTTCAATCCATCGCTCTCGTTCAAACTTGGATCTGACTGCAGTCCAACTACTGACGTCAGAGCCGGCAGCAAGGTGACATGGTGACCTCTTTGACTGCCACATATATTCTACCACGTTCTAATCAAGTGTTTCTGATACATTCAGTGGAGTCTGCGTAGTGTGATAGACGAGGCTGACAATTTTTTAGCGTTGATATTTAATATATGCTATCCCAGGTTAGAATAAAAACGTTTCAGTATTTGAGAACAGGGATAGTAAAAGTGTTCCTTAATATCCCTAACCACATGCTTAGTATATGATATCTACCCTAGTCAACACATAGTCCAACACGACCATAACCACTTACCAATATATGACTCAACACAGTCGGTGTCATTGCTCTAACACAATCACACTAACGATGGATCCAACACAACCACACTGACTCATTGTGAAGACTGCAACCAACACACATTGGACGTAACACAACCACACTGACTCATTGTGAAGACTGCAACCAACACACATTGGACGTAACACAACCACACTGACTCATTGTGAAGACTGCAACCAACAAACATTGGACGTAACACAACCACACTGACTCATTGTGAAGACTGCAACCAACACACATTGGACGTAACACAACCACACTGACTCATTGTGAAGACTGCAACCAACAAACATTGGACGTAACACAAACCACACTGACTCATTGTGAAGACTGCAACCAACAAACATTGGACGTAACACAACCACACTGACTCATTGTGAAGACTGCAACCAACACACATTGGACGTAACACAACCACACTGACTCATTGTGAAGACTGCAACCAACAAACATTGGACGTAACACAACCACACTGACTCATTGTGAAGACTGCAACCAACACACATTGGACGTAACACAACCACACTGACTCATTGTGAGAGACTGCAACCAACAAACATTGGACGTAACACAACCACACTGACTCATTGTGAAGACTGCAACCGACACACATTGGACGTAACACAACCACACTGACTCATTGTGAGGACTGCAACCAACAAACATTGGACGTAACACAACCACACTGACTCATTGTGAACCACTGCAACCAACACGCATTGGACGTAACACAACCACACTGACTCATTGTGAAGACTGCAACCAACACACATTGGACGTAACACAACCACACTGACTCATTGTGAGGACTGCAACCAACACACATTGGACGTAACACAACCACACTGACTCATTGTGAAGACTGCAACCAACACACATTGGACGTAACACAACCACACTGACTCATTGTGAAGACTGCAACCAACAAACATTGGACGTAACACAACCACACTGACTCATTGTAAAGACTGCAACCACCATCATACCATACACTTACAACAGCCATGATGAATCTACCGACCCACTTTACCCACCAAGACACGATCGACCAACGATGACCACCACCATCACCATACCACAACCACATCATCACCAACACCACCATCACCCGCCCTCGACGGAATCACTATTCCCCATATGGCCAAACAGTATTCAATGTTCCTACAAGATCTAACCAGTGCCCATTTCGACCATCAGGTAACTGCACCATCATAATGCACACAAGTCCAAAATGTTGGTATATAAAACAGACGATTATTGATGCCAGACGTAGACAGCCCTCAGTCTATAATAACCTGCTGTGATTAACGTGTCTACTTCCAGATCATGGGTGTCCCTCATTGCCATGGCTCACAGCTATCAACACAGCGTTGGAAGTCTGTTTCTCGCTTTAAACTTAATGTCCTAAGTAATAATAACTGCGCTGGATATAAGCAGTGCACCAATCAGCGCCGAGACATGTTCTCCTAAATCTACGGGTTCGTGGGATAATCAAGCCTGGTTCGTCTCTGGCGTCCACGTTATTATATTTACAGTTAATGCTTGGAATATGAATCTGCACCAGGGAGATGACACTTAGATTCACATTAGCAATAAGACACAGATCACAATAATTGTGGTATTTCTGACGGGCATATATTCAACGAATTAATATGACTTCAACAAGATTGAAGCCGATACACTTAGTCAAACACTCAAGGACATATGATGCTAGACAACTGATGTTAGACAAAACTTAGAAAAGTTTGTAAGAGGCGTGAGATACTGAGCGAGTTTGGTGTGAGGTCGAAATGAGCAGTAGTTCAATTGTTTCAAGATGTCTGTTTGGATAGAGAGGAAGGGCTGACGCAGGTTTAACAGGGAAACAAGATACAATTATAAAAGTTTCCCCGAAAAGCAAATTATGTCAACCTCGTTCAAACACGTATTATTACCAACATTGTGTTCTTCAGACATGGGAAGAATAATTCGATAAAGTTTCCAATTGACTGTGAACGTAGCTGTGAGCCTATGTTGTTTTGTGGGAGGAGTATTTCCATGTAATGAAGGCCGAGCCCTGCGGGGTTAACAAGGGTATCCGACCTGCCTTGTCTCCATGCCTCTCCAGGGAAAGTAATGATATTTTCATTCGTGACATGGAATTAATGTTTCTCCCCATAGTGAGCAGCCTGTGTCAGCAGCGCCACCTTGTGTGTGTCAATCAGAGTCAGAGAGACCGGCCATAGGTAGACATCAATATGTGTACATCAAGACGTGAATAGACAAGTATCATTATTGTATGTTGTAACACAGTGTAGGGCCTACGTTGTTCATGTGATTGAGACAGGGTAAACTAACAGTTGGACTGTTTGGTGGGATGAGCTGTTGTTGAGTGTGACTGCATGGGCTTTGTTGAGTGTGTTTGGTGGGATGGGTGAGCCTGTTGTTGAGTGTGATGAGTGAGTCCATGTTTTGTGGGATGGGTGAGTGTGTTGTTGAGTGTGATGAGTGAGTCCATGTTTTGTGGGATGAGTGAGCCTGTTGTTGAGTGTGATGAGTGAGTCCATGTTTTGTGGGATGGGTGAGCCTGTTGTTGAGTGTGATGAGTGAGTCCATGTTTTGTGGGATGGGTGAGCCTGTTGTTGTGAGTCCAGTGTGATGTTGGGTGAGTCCATGTTTGAGTGGGATGGGTGTGAGCCTGTTGTTGAGTGTGATGAGTGAGTCCATGTTTTGTGGGATGAGTGAGCCTGTTGTTGAGTGTGATGAGTGAGTGAGTCCATGTTTTGTGGGATGGAGTGAGCCTGTTGTTGGAGTGTGATGAGTGAGTCCATGTTTTGTGGGATGGAGTGGTGATGAGTGAGTCCATGTTTGTGGGATGGGTGAGCCTGTTGTTGAGTGTGATGAGTGAGTCCATGTTTTGTGGGATGGGTGAGCCTGTTGTTGAGTGTGATGAGTGAGTCCATGTTTTGTGGGATGAGTGAGCCTGTTGTTGAGTGTGATGAGTGAGTCCATGTTTTGTGGGATGAGTGAGCCTGTTGTTGAGTGTGATGAGTGAGTCCATGTTTTGTGGGATGGGTGAGCCTGTTGTTGAGTGTGATGAGTGAGTCCATGTTTTGTGGGATGAGTGAGTCTGTTGTTTAGTATGTTCTGTCACAGCCCTGGAATGTGTGGGTCAAAGAATCCAGGAAGTGATAAAATGTATTTAAGTGTTCCTCGCCGTCGGTTCGCTTTAGATTGATAAATTCGCCGTAAAGCTCACTCACCCATAGTTGTGTAAAAGTACACTCTTTTTAGCTCTTGTATTCCACGTTTGTTTCTCTGGCACGGTTGGAAAGCTTTTATCGTTAACAATGTTTGAATACACAAAAATGTAACATCGGAAAGTAGACACTCTCATGACGTCGGTAAACAATTTTGCTCGTGCCTGACTTGAGGCAACCTTCCGTAATCTGATATGTTCATGTGACGTGGCCCTCCAGACCAAACACATATACTCAATGAAATTACCACATTGTACAGAATGAGATTCATCGGATTACTGTGTATCTAGTGCGATCCAACCAACATAGAAATATTCTCGACACTTAATATGCCTGCGTGATAAAACTGCCATGGCGTTGACTGGCGAGCATGTCAATACAACGTATGTCCTCTGTGACTGCATCATGTTGAAATGTCGCCGTTTCCTTAGTCAGATATGAAAAACTGTGATGCTAAATCTAATCGGAATCATTATTAAAAATATCAATTGAAACCGTTTTATTTGTCAAACACTCCATAGAACTCAAGATTTTAAATGTCACTAAAAGTAACCAATTTAACTATTTGCAGTTGGAAACATTAATTTGATTGTAGGCGGAACTTAAGTTTAACGTGTCATTCTCTCGTTGATACGCTTATGGTTATTTTCATCCCACACGCTACACAATTTATATTTCCGTTATCCTGAAAATTCCCAATATATTGTATTCGTGTTTCACTTCATGGCATGTCTTCGTTAAAGTTTGATTATGACTATTTCTGAGGAGGCAACACTGCTCCCGAGTACACTGTCCAGCAGGAGCCCTGGCATCGTGGGGTGACGACACTACTTGTTGCCTGGCCCAGACATATTGGCAGCCATTGATGTTTTGGTCACCAACCACTGGCTACGGTATGCAATGGGAACTACCACGCATACTTTGAGCACATTCTTTATATGGCTATTGTAAAGAAATAATTGTGTACTAAACTATAAAGAACTAACCACTGCATAGTCTACTGAATAAACGAGTATTTTGTGTATGTGTTTTCAAAAAGGCGTTTCATGTAAATACCCATCATAAAGAATGGACCACTTTACAACAGTTTACTTATACCTGGAAAGAAGCAACGCGTTCCCTAGTATAAGGCAAGAGGCAGTATAATGAGTATATTACCTACCATGAAGGAAGAACTACTACCTAACATGCATAAAGAACTGCATTACTACCACACAGAAAGAAGCACTTTATCACGTACTATCGACAAAGAAGCAGCATATTTCCTACAATGAAGAAAGAAACACCTTACTATCTACCATCAAGAAAGAACTGTATGACTTACCATAGTGAAAAAAGTAAATTATTAACAACTATAAAGAAAGAAGAACAGTTCTAACTCATACAAAGAAAGAAAATAAAATTAACTGCTACAAAGATTTTTTGTAATGTCTTGCTGTAAAGAAAGAATCACTGTGTGTACTTACTATAAAGTTGCCTGGAATGGTCTCCTTCTGTCTGCTGTGATATGGCGCTGGCTGCTGTAATACAAGAGGCCCTAGTATCATATTGTGCATGAAAATACATTATACAACTCTTCCATGTTAACTATACACCCAGCCAAACTGACAAGTGTATATTTAGATACGTATTACATTCCTCACTACAGGTGTCCAACAGGGTACAACATCATAACTTGCCTGCTGCTACATGCTGGATCCACTACAGGTACGTTGACGGGACAATTAAGGGAATTTAAGGAAGGTAATTGTGCTACCCTCCTGGGTCCTTATGCATGTGAATTCTAAATTCTGTTCGGTTTGGAAATCAAAACATGGTAATTTGGCTAAGACGTTTAACTGAATATATAGAGTGGCCAAAAAGTGGAACTATCTATGAGGCTGTACGGCAAAAGAAGTAACTATATATTTTCAATAGTCAGCTTTCCCTATACGCCGACCAACATCCCCACAGGTCTAGCATTTGCTGTGTACATTTCCAAATTGTTGACGCACAATTGCTAATACTCTTTTGACCATGACTTCACAGAGCATCACACGAGACTTGCTCGGACGTTGGTAAGGTTATCGAGATTAGGGACCGGTCATAAGTTATGGGTAGTGGGGTGGGGGGTGGGGAAATGATGATTTTTATGGAAGAGCATGTACAATGTGAATAACCCCCCCTAAAATTTGTGCACAAATTAGGTGACCCCCTCTGCATGTCAGATACAAAATCAATTACCCCCTCTCCCCATTCCCATATTTTGAAAGAATAAATTTTAAATATGTATATGTACAAAATTGCTCACACACACACACACACACACACACACACACATCACACACCACTAGAAACATGTGCACAAAATGGCTGACGCCCCCTTAAGAACATCATCACCCCCTTAGCCATAAATTAATTATTTATGCATGATGTACAAGAACGTAGGGATACAACTGAAACAAACTGTGAGATCTATGAGTGAAAAATACTACTTTTAATTATGTACAATATGTTATCATGTGAGAGTTGTATCTGGTAGTGGAAGTGATACTTTTCACATTCTTACATGGTTAGAGAATACTTACCATTAGATAGTGGGCCGAATTCATCTAGTGACTTTTTACTGAACCAAGCTGAAAACAGTAAAAACATTTGGACGTTCATACATGAATAATGCATATGTGTGAGTGTTTGTTGCTTAACGCCACAGTCACCAATATTCCAGGTACATGACGGTGGTCTTCACCAGACAATCCAGTGACTGATACATAATGACAAGCAGTGAACCTAGTCCCTGCACCTCACCGCTTTACTCCACCTTCACGACAAGCAGTGAACCAAGTCCCTCCACCTCACCGCTTTACTCCACCTTCACGACAAGCAGTGAACCAAGTCCCTGCACCTGACTACTTTACTCCACCTTCACGACAAGCAGTGAACCAAGTCCCTGCACCTGACCACTTTACTCCACCTTCACGACAAGCAGCATGATGCTGGGACGTATGCCCCTACACCAGGATGTTACAATAACTGAGTGTACTATAGAGATAAAAGAGTAACTATATTTCCTGCTATAGAGAAAGAAGACCGGTGCTTTACAGTAGTTCATTGACACATAATGGTGAACGCAGCTTCTTTGTCCTTTGTATCAAATGGAAGCTGTTTCTGAGGATTGCCAAGGTTAGGTATTTTTGCATTCATCATGGATCAATGTTAATGCGAGTTACAATGAGAGCGGAGGGACATATAGTGAGAGTGGTTGGGTGGAACAAGTGTTTGAGAAAAACAACAGGAGATTGTTACACATACACTTAGACTCTTTCCAAATCCATTTGGTATCTCTCTGTAGATAATGCAACAAGGGGGATAATTTAAATGAGAGTTATACAAAGCAGGTCAGTTTATGTATATGTATCTAATGTTAAGTACATCTACTCACTTCTCCATGTAATCAGTACTGATGTGTATTGTGAAAAGATTCGACAGAATTATCATTTCTGGGTTGATTACCTCGTTTCATGACACTGAGTTTAAAGGCACTAATCACCATTACAAAAGGTACAGTGTGACTGAAGAGGTCGAGATATGTGCAAAAAGTGCCTCGTTATAGAAACATTAGTTCTGGACAGAAGGGCGATGAAGACAGAACGAGGCTATTTTCTTTACGTCAGCTAACTGTTTGTAGATCTCAGTCGTGTACCACCTTATCAAACTACGAGGAAGGGTATGGTTCTGATAATGACAAAATAGGAATCATTAAGAGAACCGGTCTAAATTTCGAACCTACAAAAACAGGATTCTGGAACATCTGGGATGCACATTTCGACAGAGCGATATTGCCGCGTGGGACAAATAAACTTGAGTTCAATCCGTTTTGGGCATCACAAAGACGCCGCCGTCGGTGGTAAGAAGAACAGACGAAGGCCAAATGACACCACTGATTTTGAAAAATGTTTGCCCTTTCCTCATGACCCTTTGGGACTGTACGAAGTGAGAGCAAGATTGTACTCTGTGTCGTTAAAATAAATCACACAACTCCAGTACTTTTTGCTGACGGGTAGGTCTACAAGCAGCCCATATTATTGACTACAGAGTATTGGTCTTGTTGAAACGATTAGCCACACCAGAAACAGTCTTTACTGAAAAGCAGATTTCATTTACTGAATTTGAAATTCGCAAACAAGGGAATAGATGTTACAATCTTCAGTAACATTCTCAGACAATGATCACTTTAACTTAATGTCCCACAGTTCTAGTATTTCAAATTCCAATTTTTTTAATAAACGTGATTATCATGGATATATTTTTCAATAAACGTGGTTATCATGGATATGTTTTTCAATAAACGTGGTTATCATGGATATATTTTTCAATAAACGTGGTTATCGTGGATATATCTTTCAATAAACGTGGTTATCATGGATATATTTTCAATAAACGTGGTTATCATGGATATATTTTTCAATAAACGTGGTTATCGTGGATATATTTTTCAATAAACGTGGTTATCATGGATATATTTTTCAATAAACGTGGTTATCATGGATATATTTTTCAATAAACGTGGTTATCATGGATATATTTTTCAATAAACGTGGTTATCATGGATATATTTTTCAATAAACGTGGTTATCATGGATATATTTTTATCAATAAACGTGGTTATCATGGATATATTTTTCAATAAACGTGGTTATCATGGATATATTTTTCAATAAACGTGGTTATCATGGATATATTTTTCAATAAACGTGGTTATCATGGATATATTTTTCAATAAACGTGGTTATCATGGATATATTTTTCAATAAACGTGGTTATCATGGACATATTTTCATCTATTGTCTTTAAGTGTTCAGGAAAATAGATATAATCAAATGTTATCTGATGTTTACTGAATGTTTTCTTCAATCACATGTGAAAAGCTGGACTTCCCTGCAGGAATGTGGACGTGAAAGGAAGCTGGACTTCCCTGCAGGAATGTGGACGTGAAAGGAAGCTGGACTTCCCTGCAGGAATGTGGACGTGAAAGGAAGCTGGACTTCCCTGCAGGAATGTGGACGTGAAAGGAAGCTGGACTTCCCTGCAGGAATGTGGACGTGAAAGGAAGCTGGACTTCCCTGCAGGAATGTGGACGTGAAAGGAAGCTGGACTTCCCTGCAGTAATGTCGACGTGAAAGGAAGATGGTTATGGCGCTGCCAGATGCGCATAATTCACTGTGTATTGCAACATACAACCCGTTTAGAAGAGGTAGCTCCCATCGGTCTCGTTATCACTCACCTTCCAATACCCACTCTGTAGTCGCCAAAATGGTTATTGTAACTCCCAATACTATTAAAGTACTCCATTTGGGAGAGCTTTCATGAGTGGAAGAGCGGACAAATTATGAGGCTGTAAAAGCCGTTTGAAAATCAATTAAATGCAGGCAAAATCTATTATAAAATGTGTCATGTGACATATTAGGATATGTGTTAAAACCACGTAATTCAGTTTCATTTTCAGGATTAGCCTTTTCAAATTTCTTACATTTAATGGAATATTACTATGCATGAATCGATGTTTCAGTGGATGTTTTCATGTGATTTTCTTCACGTTTTTCACGGACACCGGGTGTCGTGATTGACGGTCAGCGATCCGTCCACATAAGTTTCACCACTACTGACGTCAAATGGAATCTGTTTCGGTGAATGATGCGATCGGGGTATTCTTGACGTTCTGAATTGAGTTGCAAGTTGGATAAAACGTACTCTTGACTGTTTATAGAAAACCTTTCAGATGTATGGTATATTCCAATATTGGAGTTCACAAAGATTATTCAGTGTCCTTAAAGCTGAAGAGACATAGGTTAATAGGATAAATCTCTTGAATTTGATGAAGAGAACGCACTTGGGCTGTTTGATTTGATATGTCATTACGATTGCAAATATTAGAGAAAATAGAGACTGGTAAATACAAACGGAAAGGCAATCGTTGACATTTTGAGCCGTGCCCACTGAACGTACTGAAGGACGTGTGAAATAAACCCTTTCGTTTCTGCTTCTTTACCACGACCTTTTCTTGCAAATTAATTAGCCAGGACTCTTCCATGTCATGCTGTTCACAAGAGAGTTCTTACAAGGATATTATAATAATTAGTTGTTTGGTCGCATGTACCACCTGTGTACACTCCTTCACCAGAGGAAGTAGATTGGGATACTATTGGGCTTACAACTGTTTTTATGACCTACAAGGACACCCACACTCACACAACGCGAGAGAACTATCACATTAGACCGATGCCGAAGCTAGTACATGGACGACATGGGGAAAACATGTTTCCAAGTAATTTAATCTTCTATTTACTGTATATATTAGGATCATAGACAAGTCAGTCAATAAGGACAATATTAATCTGTACTGGACAGATCTTGGTATGTGTTCGTGCTGATTAATAAGGACCAGCTGTACGTTCATTAAGTAATATATATAACCGTTGTGTGGTCATGTATATCACTGCATGAGGTATCATGGATAACACTGTGATATCAACATCGTATAAAAGACATCAGGGGAAGAGAAGAGACGCCTTGATGCTTAGGCTTTGGGTTTTTGAAGTTTAACTAATATTTGTCTTATTGGTATTTATCTTTATTGGTTTTAGTTTATTTCATTTGAAGACTGTTAAATGTTTTAGCATATAGAACTTTTAGAGGAGAGATTAGTAGTCATGTTCCTGAAGATAATATGTTCTATGCCCAAATTTGTTCCACAAGTATCATCTTTGAGAACGTACACAAGAGCCTTGTGCGTCCAATGCAATGTTCTGTTTTTTTTGTTTCTGTCTGGAAACTATTGCCGGTAGATTGTCCTTGTATCATTCATGAAACGTCTTTTATTGGTAATATTTACTTCAATATGTTCATCGTATCATACTCATACTTTTTCATTTTTTCTACTTTGAAATACTGACAACAAAACCTTTGTCCAGCGTGTAGTGTTGGTACTTACAGTTTCGTTTGTCGACATTATCTACCCAGTAAGTATCATCTAGGGAGAGAGACCTTGCGAAGGAAAGACCTGAAACATAACAAAGACCGTCAATGTACGAAACACACATGGACAATGTCCTGTAGCTCACCTGGAAAATGTTTACTTTACATGTCACCCTCACCATTGTTTCCTTGTTGGTACATCTCACAAAACTGATGAACTGACGAATATTTAGCTTTGATTGCATAGCAATAGACGTGGATTAGCTGTATCTCAATTCACCTGGACTTAACGTGCCCATTTTCCATGTGACTGTAATATACGCACACACGCAGGCTCGCACGCACACTCGCATCTCAACATATATTTAATTGAAAGAAACCCAGTCTCCTCTGGTTGAATATTGTAACTCTCCACAGAGAAAAACCTGAACGACAGGTGTTCAACGAATGACTGACTCCTCAATGAAACCTACATGAATGAAACTTGTAAATCTGCATTTCACTTAAGCATCGATTGATAACATGCGTAAGTAAACATGAAGTGGGGAGCTCCGTTCTAGCGTCAAACTTACATTTCACGCCAAAGTGCTGTAATGTTTTTCCGGAAGTCATAGGCATTTTAGCAATGAATCCCTACAACATCAGGAAGTTCTGAGTGATGTGAAGACCATAATACAACTAGTGGGGTCGGAATTCATTTTCAAGGAAGAACTGCATTTCTAGTGCTACCTGGTGTTTCTAGTGGTGCTGGTATTGATTCACTATGAGAATGTATGCATCCTTTAAGTAGGTGCTTCTACAGAAACATCTTTGTTCTCTCTCCTCACCCATGTCTTCACTCCGCAACGTGTGGTGCTGGCGGAAATATGCCTCTGCTCGGTCAGCTGTGAATGGATTGGTTCTCTTTGTCGTGTGACTGACAAATAGTGGGGTAGTGCGAGGAGGCAGAATGTACGCGTAAACAACAAACTGGAGGAATTCTGGAATTCGATATGGAATGATGCAGATTCCAGTGAACGGTGTTAAGATATACCATGTGCAACTGCATCGTGTCTTAGTAAGATATGTATAAGCGACACATAGATGCTCAAGTGTATATGTCGGTCATGTCTCACCATGATATGTCTAAACAACCCCTCAGTAACAGTCCCTATTTCTGATTTAACCTTGATCAAGGCACTGTCATGACTTGAAACGAGACACACAATCACCGAGCCCAATCACCAGTCTGCCATGCGCGCCTACATGTTGCTGCTAATGTTTTGTGATGAGGGCAACCCTGCTATTTAACTAGCCTTTGTTTCTGTGTACTCTACACAGATGTGGGAACAGGTTATCTAGGGGCATTTTGCCCCCTCCAGTGGGCGAGGGAAGTTAAGTGCACGATGATCACACGCCATGGCCTGGGGGCAAGCACGTCGGTCATAGCTAATGGTCCCAGATTGCCAGTATGTTGCCATCGGTGTGGAAGGTCGGCTGTTAGTTCACTATAGCTCAGTTAACTATCTCATGATGACATCAGTGTGGTGGCCTCGGGCACCCACCAAGGGCACCTGCTCATCAACGTCAACAACGTTACACATTTAGATACATACAATTCCCTATATCGCTTGTTTTGTAGCAGACACAATAATATGTTCTACAGGGCAAACGATATGAAACACGACTGTGCAGGAGTAACACGATAAGTCCTCTTGTGTTGGCTAATATGCTCGAGATGCAGCTAGCTTGAAGAGAAACAACTGTTGTTTGAGTGTTGGTTAGAATCTATGTTTCCTGTAATCTGTAATCTACTGATTGGTGTATATCGGGAGCACCACGTGACACCAACATGTCTTTGTGACTAGACTAAGAGAGAGAGAGAGATCAATACCACCGCGTTTGGATGTGTGAATCAACGAGAAAATTTATGGGCTTGACGAACACACGACGGTCTTCCTCTTCCCTACTTGACGATAGCTATGTTTTATTATTCTTTTATCAAAACTCACGATGGTTTTAGACGATTATGTTTTATTATATGTACGTGTAGTAACCATCATCCCAGATTACAATTCTGAAACCAAGAGGGTTATATCAGTTCGGAATAGTTTTTTAACATGTGAAATCAGTAGCATCATGTAAACACACCTGGGCATGTGTCGCCGGAGATGAATTAACACCGTCTCTCGCTGACATTCTTTCTCTCCAGTAAACACATAAACGGAAAAAGCACGTTTAGCCGCGGGTCTGGCGTGATCTTCCCTCACACAGGTGACTGTGTTGACTCTCGTGAGATGTATATCATCTGGGACTGGCGTGATCTTCCCTCACACAAGTGACTGTGTTGACTCTCGTGAGATGTATATCATCTGGGACTGGCGTGATCTTCCCTCACACAAGTGACTGTGTTGACTCGTGTGATGTGATCATCTAATTGTTGACTCTCGTGACATGTATATCATCTGGGACTGACGTGATCTTCCCTCACACAAGTGACTGTGTTGACTCTCGTGAGATGTATATCATCTGGGACTGACGTGATCTTCCCTCACACAAGTGACTGTGTTGACTCTCGTGAGATGTATATCATCTGGGACACTGGGATGACGTGATCTTCCCTCACACAAGTGACTGTGTTGACTCTCGTGAGATGTATATCATCTGGGACTGACGTGATCTTCCCTCACACAAGTGACTGTGTTGACTCTCGTGAGATGTATATCATCTAGGACTGGGACTGACGTGATCTTCCCTCGTGACTTCCCTCCACAAGTGACGGTGTTGACTCTCCTGAGATGTATATCATCTGGGACTGACGTGATCTTCCCTCACACAAGTGACGGTGTTGACTCTCGTGAGATGTATATCATCTGGGACTGACGTGATCTTCCCTCACACAAGTGACGGTGTTGACTCTCGTGAGATGTATATCATCTGGGACTGACGTGATCTTCCCTCACACAAGTGACTGTGTTGACTCTCGTGAGATGTATATCATCTGGGACTGACGTGATCTTCCCTCACACAAGTGACTGTGTTGACACTCCTGAGATGTATATCATCTAGTGCTGACGTGATCTTCCCTCACACAAGTGACGGTGTTGACACTCCTGAGATGTATATCATCTAGTGCTGAAGTGATCTTCCCTCACACAAGTGACGGTGTTGACTTTCGTGAGATGTATATCATCTGGGACTGCCGTGATCTTCCCTCACACAAGTGACTGTGTTGACACTCGTGAGATGTATATAATCTAGTGCTGACGTGATCTTCCCTCACACAAGTGACTGTGTTGACTCTCGTGAGATGTTGACACTCGTGATATCATCTGGGACTGACGTGATCTTCCCTCACACAAGTGACTGTGTTGACACTCGTGAGATGTATATCATCTGGGACTGACGTGATCTTCCCTCACACAAGTGACAGTGTTGACACTCGTGAGATGTATATCATCTAATGCTGACGTGATCTTCCCTCACACTAGTGACAGTGTTGACACTCGTGAGATGTATATCATCTGGGACTGACGTGATCTTCCCTCACACAAGCGACAGTGTTGACACTCGTGAGATGTATATCATCTAATGCTGGCGTGATCTTCCCTCACACAAGTGACAGTGTTGACTCTCGTGAGATGTATATCATCTAATGCTGGCGTGATCTTCCCTCACACAAGTGACAGTGTTGACACTCGTGAGATGTATATCATCTAGGACTGTCGTGATCTTCCCTCACACAAGTGACTGTGTTGACTCTCGTGAGATGTATATCATCTAGTGCTGGCGTGATCTTCCCTCACACAAGTGACTGTGTTGACACTCGTGATATGTATATCATCTAGGACTGACGTGATCTTCCCTCACACAAGTGACAGTGTTGACACTCGTGAGATGTATATCATCTAGGACTGACGTGATCTTCCCTCACACAAGTGACAGTGTTGACACTCGTGAGATGTATATCATCTAATGCTGGCGTGATCTTCCCTCACACAAGTGACAGTGTTGACACTCGTGAGATGTATATCATCTAATGCTGGCGTGATCTTCCCTCACACAAGTGACAGTGTTGACACTCGTGAGATGTATATCATCTAATGCTGGCGTGATCTTCCCTCACACAAGTGACTGTGTTGACACTCGTGAGATGTATATCATCTAGTTCTGTCGTGATCTTCCCTCACACAAGTGACTGTGTTGACTCTCGTGAGATGTATATCATCTGGGACTGACGTGACCTTCCCTCACACAAGTGACAGTAATAGTGCATAGCGCACAGCCATTTCCAACTGCTTGTGTGACTTTGCATCCAAATGTTAATATGAAATGTAGATTATGAAATGGAATTTGATGAAACACCTTCACAGTTGATGCCCGGCGGTTGCAGAAGCTCAGAATCTAAGGCGACACAATATGGAGACTCCTTTTCATTTCGTCTTCTGCATTCTCGTGGTTTTCACTGCCCAGAATATGTAGAGTGAGTGAGTATGGTTTTACGCCGCTTTTAGCAATATTCCAGCAATATCTCTGCAGGGGACAACAGAAATGGGCTTCCCACATTGTACCTATGTGGTGAATCGAACCCGGGTCTTCGGCGTGACGAACCAACGCTTTAACCCCTAGGCTACCCCACCGTCCAGACTATGTAGAGCGTGTCATGGACAACAAACTAAACCATATTGTTTAGATATATAGAAACCATTTATATCTTTTAACACCAATGTGACTGACAAGATTGAGGTAAAAGATGATAAATATGTGGACCTCACTTGAAAAATGTCACGCTGTCATCTCTGCAGACCAAATTGTCTGAGTCCCCATTGTTTTCCTTGCCTTAGGTTCGGTTCGGACACTCTGGACAAGGCAAATGTCTTCACTTTTTCTGAAAAGGTCTTGGTGGTTTTCACTAGGCAGCGCTAACTGAGAGAAGTAGTTTGAACTGCATGAAGAGGAGCCAAGGTCCTTAATGTAAGCTGACAGTTAGTGTCGGGTATCCTACGTTGTATATTGATTTGAATGATAATAAGATAAAGAACTTCATGCAACTTTTTTAACGGAACGTGTATAAGATTATCCCAGTCAGTCAAACAAACTCAAACAGCGATCTATTTAACAAACCCAGAGCAGCCTACATGGGTTCTCGCAATCAATAGAATGCCGTGTCAGCGTCGTGTTCGCTGGCTTGTAGCATCCTTCCGCTTGGCTGAGATGCAAGCAACAAACTACCTATGGTCCTGGCATTCACGATGATACTTCCACATAGCGGAAGCCATTTGCATCCAGTCTTAATCCAGGACGGCGGATCAATGCTGACAGAGGCAGTCGAACAAAATACCTAATTACAGTCTTCCACGGTCCTGTGTAAACTGCCCCGTGGAGGCGGTACCTACATTGTATTTTGGCCACCTTTTGTCTGATGTAACGTCAGACACTAATGCCTTAGACTCAAGAAATGTTGGAACAATACCGAAAGCACGCGTTCTCATTTATGAACAGTATCAGTAGGACATATTTCAGGTGTAATTGAATAATGAGTTATTGGCAGCCGTAACCACTTCTTGATTGTGAGGATTTTTTGCATCAGAACAAATAGATGTATCCACGTTTATCTAACCATTTGGACCATGTTAAGACGGTTTGTAATGAAAAGATTCATTGACTAGAAACAACTGTTTTCTCAAATATGCACAAGATTTGACGTAATGTCAATTAAAAATAAGTAATGGGAAGTTTCCGATTGAACAAGATTTATACTTTGTATACTTCGTCAAAAGCCTGACTGTATATATCGAATAAGTTAGAATTGAGTATATACGCACATACTCTGCGCGTAATATATCACAGAAGGCTGTAACATATTTTAGCAATAGGCTTTACAGTATAGAATGTCACAATTGCCATATATTACATATTACATACTATTGATAATATATGCTACAATCGTTTGAAAGTGGCATTTATGTGTAGTAACAACTCGTCTATACAAACACTCTCAGAACAACTTCATGAGCACTTCCAATACATCCAGATGCATCAGTGAGAAAGTACACACGAAGTTCTGGGACTATACCCCACAGAGAGTAATAGTTACATTAGGAGTACCGTAATGACCTACCTGTGTATGACAACAATACAAAGAGGGGCAACAGAGCGCTGAGGGCGGCACCAGATGGTTTCATGCTGCTTCTGAAAGTAGAGGAGATGTAGGTAAGATGCAGTCTCTGGAGGTCATAGGTAAGGCATTGTCGGTGGACTTCACTTGGACGTTCTCACAAACACGACTGCAGAGTAGGTTTTGAATGTATCAACACCAACGTAACGGACAGAGTCATGGATGGGAGATGAGGGGGCGGGAGTGCGGGAGGAGGGGTGGAGCAAAGAAAAGTGTGGGAAGAAGATTGGCCCTTTAATGAATGCAGCCGTGGGTGGCGGGCGGGAGGTTTCCTGACAGTATTTTCATTGGCTCTGCGAGTCTGTAAAGACAGGTGTGGAACTATCACGTTCTGGCAGGTCGATCGTGCCATTTCCACTTAATTCTCTGAGTGTTAGCTCTGCACAATTAACGTGGGCTCACGTGCCAATATCATTCTCACTATGCAAACATATCTTGTTTTGTACTTGACCATTTTAGGTATGAACCGAAGGCAATTTTGTTTTGACATTCTCAAGGGGCATATTACAGCTATTTGTAGACATATGTTTTGCACGAAGAGTTAATCTTATTTGTTGCTTTGAAAGGTCCCATGATGGAGTGTGACGCTAGTTTCACCAATATAGTTTTCCTAAGCGTCATGAAATGACATTCAGTGTCATTAGATGCTTTGATTGGAACTGCAAATACCAGACCAGCAACTAACATAAAACATTTGGTAAAGTTGTCCAAATGTCACTTCTCCGTATAACAAAAGCAATGATTTCATAATTGTGAATAAACCCGATCCATTCCCTTTTCTACTCAACAAATGGTTTTCAAACTGTCCGTTATGTTCAATCAGGTTCTCAGCACACCATTAGTCGGGTTCGAGACATGTTCAGTCAAGATCGGTTTTTCTGGATGGCCACTGGAACCCGGAAGTAGGTTCAGCGCCATTAGCACGTGCTGAAGGAGAGTAAATGGATTCCTTTCTTTCGATCTCCGTAGGAAGGGAGGAAAGTGTGAGTGTTTTTCTTCCTTTCCAACTCTGATCGGTGACATCCGAAGGTCGGCTCTTAATACCATCCGTCATGAGCACAGTAGGACAGAGAGAGATGACAGCCATGCTGCCCTTGCTGGTAGTGTTGCTTTTAAGTAGATAATCCATTAACTTTTGTCGGAGGGTTTGAGTCAACAAATACTCGTGCTACCCATTGTCTGGTCATAATGAAATGAGTGATATTGCTCAAGCTTTATTGTATGTCCGTGTATGAAACTTACCAGTAAATGAAATAAAAGTAAATACAAGCGACAAAATACCCTTCTATAATTATTAGAAATATTTATTTAATGTCGGGGGGGATTCGGTATCAGTGTGTATCTACAAATCACCATAGAGACGGCTCCTGCGGAGTGGAGCCTGTCCTGCCTCATCGGTGGTACTTCTCACAAACACATACAGGAGTCAATTGTTCATTCCATAATACATGGAGGTAAATGGTACAAGTAATAATGTTTTCTTTGTCATTCGTAACAGCCTCTAAGAACGCTGTGAACGTTGTGAAGTAAATCTACATATCAGTATCAAGTTTTTAAACAATTGTTAAAGTTATACAGTAGGCGTGTTCTCAGCGAGTTGTCATACTGACACAGGATTTGATTTGATCATGGTGCGTTTATTGGATATGAACAAATTGAATCTGGAATATCCTGACATGGATGAGGGACGCATTCTTTATGCGTTCTATCACTGGACAGCAACTGTTTTATGCTTAATAATAACAAATATTCTATATTCTTTCATGAAAACGGTCAGTACTGTATCAATCATGTTATGTACTGGCGTTGTCCAGAAAATGGGATCAAATATCACATTAAGTTTCACCATAGAAAAACGGAATTGATTTATCTCTTTAATCGTAAGAGATTGGAGATAGCACTTAACCACCACTACAAATTCTTTAGTGTAATCCCATTCAAAGCAAAACCGTGTTAATCACAATTGTGATTGGTGCACACACAGTCTATGAACATCATTTCTCAGAAGTTGTGTTGGTGGACTGGATCTGCTTGCAGTGCGTGACCACTTTATTGTCCGTGTGGTCATTACTGAAGCCAGGGGGTAGAATTACTGTTATCTAGTCACACGTAGTGGTGGAACTAACAATGCTGACCTTCACTTAATGTTACGTTAATCCGTGTACCATTGACGACACGTTAACACACCATCTGTTTGAAGGAAATGGCACGTTTCTCAACAACTGAAATGGGATGGGAATATACACTCAATTACAGTATAAAAACACGTAAAATAGTATGACAGGTGGCATGTTTCCTACAAATGCATGCATGACACAAATATTGTGCTCGTAATACATAATATATACATATATAATATATTATATCGGCTCTTCAAATATTTGAAGAGAACAAAAGAGGTGGCATTACAACATGTTGAGGTAGCCAGGCATTCTCCCCGACGTGTCGATAAGCCTCACAGAGAGAGCCTCATATAAAGCGTAAACCTTGATCTCGATTTCGCCGAAAAGTGGATTCCCTTCGGCGTTAAAGGCTAAAGGTTCGATAACAATCATAGGAACTGATCACAGAACAATCAGTGTTGACACCAAGTGTTCGTGAAAATACTAAGCATGTCCCGCCCTTTCGGCGGCACCAGTCACTCACAAAATGGAATATGTTTCTGTAAAACCTCTGCTTCAACCCCTTCAATCAGTGTTTTGAATTATACCTATGAGCATCTTCGAGAGGAACCAAATAAATATTCGCGTTCGAACTACACAATACTGTGATTAATAGTAATGTAGTCGGGTTTTGTTGAGACGCTATAAACCAAGTCATCCTAGCCTTATAATGGACATCTTGGTCACATAGGTTATTACAATACATTGTACCATGTCAACCACTTTCACTTGATATAATTAATTTTAGTATTTTGGGTTTTAATTTCAACAAGAAACAGTACTTACCATGCTTCATTCAAATGTCATATCAGGCCGGTCTTATTATTATAGGAATTATATGAAAGGTGACCTGTTGTAAGTATGTTAGTGACATTGTCACATCTTGCTGGACCAGACAATTCAGAGACCGACAACATGAGCATTGATCCAAGCATTTAGCATACGATGGCATGCATCAATCAAGTCAGCGGGCCTGATTCCTAATTCAGTTAGCCGCCCCTTAACAAGGCTTGTGTAAAACCATTTGTAGCCCGGATCTGGTTTGATTCCAAAATCGAAGATAAATCTGTTTAACAAAAGTACATGAACAAATGCATTTCCATGTTTTACAAAAATATAAAACATTGTCAACACCGTTCAAGTTCCACTTCCTGTTTGTAATGATAGTTTGACAGTTTTGTTTTAACACTTAAATCTGTGGGGACATATATAACGTATAACTCCCACTTCAATTCTGAGCGTGTCATGTCCATCCTTAACGCATTTATCAATCGATTGATAGAGACAGCTATTCACTCCCCAAAGAAGGCTCAGAAGATGGCGTGAGCTCAACTGCTTCTCAAATATTATTAGAAACCAAACTACTTATCATCTATATACCGGTCTCGTGACAGTGTTGTGATTTTTCAGATTTAAATTGATGACTGCTGGTATTCACGGTGTTCATGAAGTGGGTTTCCAGCAACTTAAATATAACTGTGCTGTGAAGTGCTGTAGACTGATCTGTTTCATTATGTGAACGGATGGTGCTGTGAGTTCCTTATAATGAATATTTACCATGGTAAAATGAACGAAAATGGACTGAGGGATTAATGTAAGATCTCACGAGTTGTTGATCAATGGCTTCCAGAGGAATCATATTTCAGTTAACGTCAGAGTATTTTTATCTCTTCATTTAACTTTTTAGTAAAAATATATGTGTCCATATCAAACGCGAATTATGGAAAGTTAATTTTCCCTGAGGCAAGGACTGTACCAGTGATGTTCATGTTGAAGTCAGGTTAAAGGTAAAACCTGGGATGATGTAGGCTAAGAAAGATCAAGCTTGACGTGATGAAGATGGCATCTGGAAGAAGGCTGACTGCCTATTGTGTTCATTTAGTTCATGTTAAAATGGTATTTACTAAGATCTATATTGAATGGGAATGATTTATTACAGGATGAGATTGATAAAGTTAAGCTGTACGCGAGGTTGTGTAGCTATAATTTGACAGGAATAACATTCTGTTAGATGCAGTCACTGGTTAGGTGGTATATAATGTTTTGTTACTACTAGATAGGTGGCTAGGTCGCTTATCGTACAACTTGGAAGCTAGAACGTGGATGGTACCACATAGGTAGTAGAACATAGTTGTAACAATCATGTTGGCCAACGTATTGCTGTACAGCCAGTAGGTTAGTGGTAACACATGCTGCAGCAAGATTGGAGTTTGGGAGTAGAAAATGCCATGTTGTATCGTGAAGCTGGGTGACATAACATGGTATTTTCTGTTGTTATTTAGATTGTACAACATTTGCGTCGTAGCTGCAAGATGGGTGGTTGGCTTGTAGGTCGAAGGTGGGATGTAAACCATGTTGTGTGGTAGCTAAGAGGCGGGTAGAATAACATATTGTTTTGTTGTTAGAAGGCGAATAGCATATTGTTTTGTTGTTAGAAGGCGAATAACATGTTGTTTTGTTGTTAGACGGCGAATAACATATTGTTTTGTTGTTAGACGGCGAATAACATGTTGTTTTGTTGTTAGACGGCGAATAACATGTTTTGTTGTTAGACGGCGAATAGCATGTTTTTTTGTTGTTAGACGGCGAATAGCATGTTGTTTTGTAACTAGTGTGCTGTTGGTATGTGATATCCTTTTGTTGCAATGAGGTGAGTGGTATAACGTGCTGGTTTGTAGATATAGAGTGGGTGCTGACACGTATTTAACATGGACCCATGACTGACGCCCATGCTGAATAGAGCTGCTGCTGCTGCTGCTGCTGATGATGATGATGGGGATGATGATGGGGATAATGACGAATGTGTGTGTTACTTAACAACTACAATGTCAACGGTTTCCTTTTTATTTGCC